CCCTCATTTTGGGAACTTAAAGGGAGCACTCCATTATGAAACAAAATGTACGTAAATATAATGTTTCATGCCGAGTGGGGATCCGATATGAGAATGGTCAATTTTTCTTCCAAATATGCACAAGTTAACTTGGCAGTACAAAGTATATTCCACAAATATAGTACCAAATATTATGCATACAATTAGATATAATGGCCAAAGTCTTACGTACAATGAGTCATACAAATCCATTTCTCTTAGAGCAAAAAGGCACCTCCATTTCATTAAAGAAGCAATCACCTACAAAAGGTCCACCCCATTCACATAAAAAGAAATAAAGCTCCCAACAGTCCACCAAAATGTGAAGAAAAGATAAAGGCAAAAAAAGTAGTAGAGACCTTCGCCGACAGAGCTTATGGGCTGTCTAGGCAGCCAAAATAGGACAATCCCAAAGTGAAAAGAACTTGTATTTCCTTTCCGAAGCTACTCCAGTGCATATCCTTTTGGTGCCGTCCCTCATTTTGTGTCTTCCTTCACCTAGAGAGAAACCCACAATCAATACAATGACTGAAGAAACAAGAAATATCAAACATTATGCTCTACTTCAGGGCCATAAATGTTGAATTAATATCTAGTCAACGTTTGTAAATCACCACTAGAGAATTACAAGACAACACATAATCGGACATCAATTCTTTGCGAAGTCAAATGAACTCTATCAACCGACTTTCTCCCATGTCCTTAAGAATGAATGAGTTAATCACAAGTCACAAACACAAACATGTGTAGGGCTTATGGATGTGAATAGCAACCTAAGCGCATAGATATTTCATTAATACAATAAAAATCCGCAACTACTAAACAATAAATCTAAACCAATTGCATAGGCATGGCAACAGAAATGGAGATGGTCTTGTTGGTGGAGATAGTGTGGTCTAAAAAGCCTTCCATGATACCATGTGTTGGCGGCGATGATGGCAATGAGTTCTTCGTCGCAGGCAGTGGGGTCTGGTAGCTCGGATGGAAGACTAGGGTTATCTATTTCACAATAGAGAACTCAGGGTGTGTTTCTGTGATGAATGTTGAAGGCACGTAAAAGGACGAACCCCGGTGTGCATGTCGTCCTGACATCTCCACGCGCTCTGATCTAGGGCACGTCCCCAATGCATGTGGGCCCAAAGTGTGCCCTCTGAGTCCATCTCCTAGCCTTTGGCCTCACTTTTCGCTGAAATCACTGGTTTATTTTTATTTCATTCCCCCACTCCATAAAAAAAGTTTTTATTGGTGAATTCTTCAATATGTAGTTCATGAGAGCTTTCCAGTCCTCCGCCAGTAAAATTGTACAATAAGAAAGAAATTCTAGATAAATTAGGGCAAAGCTTATTGAGCTAACATGACAATTGGGAAATTTAGCTTCTATATTTGTGATGCAAAAGGCATGTATCAGTTAGCACGGATGAAACTTGTAACACGTGTAATAATATAACTTGATTCTTTTCCCTCCTGCTTCCTCAGCTCCAAAATACTACATTGCATATTAGGCCTCGCTAGGATAAGTTCCGAACCCAAAAATTACTCTGTTAGAGCATCTCTAGCAGACCCCGTAAAAGTCGGACTCGGAAAACACGTTTACAGTTCGCTGCAGATCAGATTTGTTGGGCGAATTCATGCGCTGTAGATCAGACCCCGTATATAAAACTGTAAAATAAAAAAAAACATTTGCGGGAGAAACTTGCAACGAAAATCATCATACACAGTTGACCATCATACTACTTCATAGATAATTGTTCATCATACTACATCATAGTACTATATAGGGGGGGGGGGGTCTGCGGGCCGTGCAGCATACCCGAGCCTAGGCTACCAAAATCGACGGGTGCGGCGGCGACGACGCGGCGGAGGAGCCGGAGCAGCTCAGTCCTTGTCGGAGACGAGGTCGATCCACACCATGGCCTGCTCGGCCTTCATGACACGCAGGTCCGCCTCCTTGGACGCGTGCACCTGCGACGCCGCGACGCCCTACTCGAGGAAAATCTCCTCGATCTCGAGATCGCGGCGGTGGCGCGCGTCGGCCTCCTCTTTCTCCCTCGCCGAGCGCTCCATGATGGCGCGGTCAAGGTAGTCCTCCTGCCCCTGGGGAAGGTAGTGTTCGGGGCCGATGATGCCTCGACGCGGCGGGTCCGCATCGGTCTCGAGCTTGATGGCGAGCGGCCCGAGCTCCTCCGGCTCTCTCTTGACCGGAGTAAGCCACGAGCTCGAGGCGCTCGTGGACGAGCTCCCCGTGGTAGAAGAGCCGGAGGAGGCGCGGTGGAGGACCACGAGCTCGGGCTCGCATTCATCGAGCTTGCGGCGTTCGAACGCTGGCGGCGGCTGGCTCCCATAGTTGAGCCATTCCGCACCGCCCACTTGCGTGCGGCATCGGAGATGCGGCAGCGGCGCTCCACATCATCCCCACCACTTCCGTAGCCGTCCATGGATCGGGAAGGGTTGCTAGGGCTTTTATTAGGCTCGCCGGCGGCAAGAAATTGGTGCGGAGGGGGAGGGAAATCATGGCAGAGCGGCGACGGAGGCGGATAGGGTTTGACCTGTATTCGAGTGGTGAAACCGCATAAATAGCTGTGGAGTGGGTCTTTTTCGGGCCACGGTAAACTTTTTACGGGCCGGGCCCAGGATACGGAGTCTGTTCTGGCAAGAAAAACGGGCTGAACCCGAATACTCGCCGGAATTATACGGGTTCAGCCCTTTTACGGGGTTTGCTAGAGACGCTCTTAGCAATTATGGCATACAATTGACGCCATTACATTCACATTCGGAAGTACTCAATTATGGTTATAGTTTTGTGTCACAGATGCTAGATTAATAGTGTAAGTATTGGTTGATCATGCATTCTAGTAAAACCTAATGCCCATGGTATTTCGGAATGCAGAGAATATACAAAAAGAGATACTATCAGATTTACGTACGGTCAAGAGGTGAACATCAAACTGAAAAGAAGAAATTAGTGCTCCTAGAAATGCTCTTCACTTGGGAGAAGCATCAAGCCAACATCGAGAAGGTGATCAACAGGTTCCATGCAATTAATTTGTTTGGACGCAAGTAGATGGGCTTTATTAGTATTATGGGTTAGGCTGGTCACAATGGGAGGTATCATATACTAATATCATGCATATGATATTAGTGTATGATAGTATCTCCACATTGCATAATGTAAGTATTATAGTGACCTCATTTATTGTTATGCACAATATATACTACTACCTCCGTCTAAGTGAATAAGTCATTCGCGTAGTTCTAGGTCATCGATTTGAGGAATTAAATATGTGTTATATGTCATAAAAAGTATATCACTAGATTTCTACAAAGATGTAGTTTCTAAATATATGTTTTTTGTCACAAAGAATACATATTTAGATAGTTAAATTGTCAACCTAGAACTACGCAAATGACTTATTCACCGAGACGGAGGTAGTAGTATATCGTTTAATATGCTATAACACCATATCATGATACTCAATCCTCTCTTTTCTCATTTAATTGTGTGGCACCTCAACAAAAATGTTTAGTTGACATGCATAATACTACCACTCCCTTCATTTCTAAATATGTCTTTGTTTAGAGATTTCAATATAGACTACATACGGATGTATATGAACGTAGTTTAGAGTATGGATTCACTCTTTTTGCTCCGTATGTAGTCCATATTAGAATCTCTAAAAAGACTTACATTTAGGAAGGGAGGGAGTACTTACGATACTCCTATTATGACCATACGGCATCGCCAACCTCAGTATCGAGTAGGCCCCTTAAAACTGCACACCCTCTCAAGTAGTAGTACTCCCTCCGTCTAGGTGTTTAAGTCATCTTACGAAAACCAAATAATCCCAAAACACTTAGGCACGGTACATTAACTCTCTCCTCGTTTCTTCTTTTGTGACATATCAACCAATAAGAGATGTGGGCCGTTCATGCTTTCAATGACTTGGGCTACCAAACATGGCATGCAGAGGTTAGTTCATTGCATGCAATGCTATTAATTAGCAAAAAGATATTAAGTTTCTCGTTTTCCTCTCCGCCTTCATCGTGGTGCGCAACGTAAGATGACTTACACACCTAGACGGAGGGAGTAGCAAGTTTGATGGATCCAGATGGCCATAACGTGCTAACTACTCGGGAAGCTTGTCAGATTGTGTAAAAAATAGCTAGTGGTGCAACTTGTGTGCATGCATGGACTACTAATTGCAAATACCCGGGAGGCTAAATGATCATTTGCAACTTGTGTGCATGCAAGGACTACTATGGTTAGAGAGGTAGTCCATGCATGCAAATGATGTGGTCGCTAGAAATTACTCCTTGAAATGATCTTCCCACAACAGGTTCCATGCAATTAATTAATGTAGTTTGGAATCACGCAAGTTGATAAGCTTTATTACTGCATGCAAGTTGATACACTTCAATTAATTAAGGCAAGTTGGAGTACTCCTGTAGTAGTATGACCAAGCGCAATATCGAGTAGTAAGCCCTTGACTGCACTCTTGGCCGCTTTTTTGCCACGTATATGGATGCAGCTCCGGCTATATATTACCCATACCTCTCTAACCATTTTCTCACCCAATACACACGAGGACCTCTAGCTACCAGATCTTAATTGTGCTTCCTTGTTGCAGCCATGGCAAAGTATGTCCAGAGTGCTCCTGTTAGCAATGAAGCATTGCAGCACAAGGAGTTTCTCTTGGACAGCTTGTACATGGAGCAACGTACCGAACTGAATACCATGGAGACCATCATATTGGATTCCAATCTTCCTCAAAGGTTTGGCTGCATTGCGGCTACTGATTACGCCATATATGATGGCATTGGCCTCGACAAGAAGCTTGTTGCGCGTGCACAGGGGCTAAATATGGCGGTTGGTGCAACAAATGGAACCTGGTCGTTCTGTTTTAACATGGTGTTCGTCGATGAGAGGTATGTCAAAAATTCCATGTTCATTTGACTGACATTGTGTGTGTATGTGATACATCGACTAATTATATGAAGTCGATTTGGTTTAGGTTCACGGGCTCTAGCCTTAAGGTGCTTGGAAATTTGGCAGAACCGTATGAAGGTGAATGGGCAATCCTTGGAGGGACGGGTGAATTTGCCTATGCACAAGGTGTTGTAACCTTCAAGAAGATCCAAGAATTTGAAAACGGGAAAAGTAGGTTAAGGGAGCTTCAGATCCGTGCCGTGTGCGTCAAATTCTCGTCGTCCCTGTCATTGGTATATACATACCTTTTTGTTGCGGTTCATGCATGGGCTCTATCTAACATGCAATTAAAAGTTCTAATACACATTAACAACGCAGCCTGTAAAGATGGGGCCATGGGGCGGAAACGGAGGCTCCATTCAAGACATGACCACAGGAAAACCGATGCGCCTAGAAAGTGTGACAATTCATAGTGACAACAGCTGGATTGTCTACTCCCTTGCATTTACTTATATTGACAAACTTGGGAAGAGGCGCAAGGAGGGTCCTTGGGGTCCTGACAAAGGAACCAGTCAAACTGTGAGTTCATTTTAGAAAGTAATTTGCCTTTTGATGCATACTTGTACATCTCGTCAACAGTTAACATGGTTTCCTGTCATGTATTCACTACAGATTGAGTTTGGGCCTAAAGAGTATGTGAGGGAAATATCAGGGACCATTGACACTGTCATATCGTCACTTGTTATCACGACGAACTTCAAAAAGTATGGACCGTTTGGGCATGAGAAGGGTAATCGTTTCAGTGCTACTGTGCCAGAAAATACATGTGTTGTGGGATTCTTCGCCAGGACCGGGAATGCTCTAGATGCCATTGGTATTTACCATGGCCCCATTGTGGTTTGAAATGGTTTCGTTGTTGTTTTGCTTTAGCTTACGGCAGTCTCATTCCAAAGTGTGTTAGCTCCACCGTTTATTTTCCAACAATAACATGGCTAGGGTCATCGATCCTTGCCTCTAGCTAGGATCCATGTCGATCTAGTGCAAGAGTATTTTGTTTAATTTGTCACCTACTGTATTCAATCTACAATAAATGAAGAGATGCAAGGTTTGTTTTCTAATGAAATAATCAAGCTGATATGTTCACAGATTTATTGTGCATATGGATGTGCTTTATTCCCTCATCTGGGCACTTAAAGAGATCACCCGATTATGAAACAAAATGAAGGTAAATTTAGTGTGTCATCCGGAGTGGGAATCTGATCTGAGAATGATCAATTGGCTACTTCATGCACACAAATTAACTAGGTATCACAATGCATATTACAAATATACAGTTCTATGTATTGTGCATATTATTACTTTATTAGATATAATGGGCAAAGAATTACAAACAGTGAGTCACACTTGTCCATTTTGGTAGAGAAAAGGGTACTCCGGTTTCATTTAAGAAGCCATCACCTACAACAGGTCCACCTCATTCACACAAAAAGGAAGAAGAACGCTCCCAACAGTCCACCAAAATGTGAACATAAGATAAAGGGAAACAAGTAGTAGAGGCCGATAGCTATAGAGCTTATGGATAGTCGAGGCAGTCATTTCTGTTTGGGGCCGCCCCTCATTTTGTGTCCTCCTTCACCAACAGAAATCCATAACCAATACAATTAAAAAAATAGAACAATATCAAACATCATGGTCTACTTTAGGTCCATAAATGGTGAAGTAATATCTAGTCAGTGCTGGTACATCACACCCAGAGAATTATAATACATCACATAATCAAACATGAATTTGCATTGTGAAGTCAAATGAAATGTATCAACCGGATTTCTCCTATATATGTGCCATCCAGAACGAAATGAGTTAATCGCAAGTCACAAACACAAGCAAGTGTAGGTCTTGTGGATGTGAATAGCAACTTTAGCGCATAGATATTTCACCAATCTACACCTTTAGTAAAAGGAGAAGTGTTTCTTTCGGTCCGTTGCGCTCCCCCCTACACCCTCACCCTCCGCGCGTTGTTTCTTGAAACCTACCTGCGGTACATATTTAATTGAGTCCAGAAAAAAGTTCCGCGTTTTTTAGAAAACCCACTGCTGTTTCTTGAAATCAACCAACATGTTTGAAGACCCCCCCCCCCCTCCCAATATGGAATTTGATTAAAAAAATATGTAGACTGTGAATACGATGTTAGTTTTCCTATTAGACATTTTTCAATGCTATTTAGGTTGCAACCTTAATCAACAGCGCATGATCCGTCTTTCTTCCATATCGATGCTGATCCGCAATGGAAATGAACACCTCGGCAAAACCAGATTAGATACAAAAGAAACCATCTATAACCATGCATGCAAGCCTCGTCAAAACCTCATTGGGAAAACCAAAGAAGATTTATCATCTTATGTCAAAAGAGAGACGCCTTAGGATTGACCATATTCAAAGTTGTGCTTGTGTGAGCACTATGGCCACCGTCGGCGAGGGTGAGAAGGAGGATAAGCGGCAATATAGATGAGATGCCATGTTGAAATAAAGGACATTGACCTATTGAGGTCTTAAGTCATGGTTATTGGGTTATAGGCGTGTTATAGTTCTTGTCCCCGTTGCAAAGCACATGATCTTTTGCTAGTAAATCAAAAAGCACCAACTACTAAACAAAACTTAACACTAGAAAGTGATTATAGGGATCAACCTAGAAAGTTGCATGGAGATGAACAAATATTAAGTTGGAGATGGTGATATTGGTGTAAATGGTGTGGTCTAAGATGCTCCCCATGTGTGGTGGCATTTGTGGTGATGAATTCCCTTGTCGGAGGTGGTGGAACCCAGTAGGATCAGTCCTCCAAAGGAAGAAGGGTTATATATTCGCAGCAGTAGCCAAAAACTCTAGTAGTAATTCGTGTGTGGTCTTGGGATGAATGTCGGAGTCACGTAAATGGCGGAGCCTAACATGCATGTCGGGCCTACACGCCTCCACCATGCGCCCTAGCCAAGGGAACGTCCCCAGGACATGTGGGACCGAAAGAGTACTCCCTAGGTCCATCTCCTGACCTCTGGCCTCTTTTGTTCTGACAATTATCGGATTATTGCTTTATCCCCTCACTCCATAAAAGTGTTTTTCTTGGTGAATTCTTCAATATGCAGTCCATGACAAATTTTCATCCCCCTCCAAATGAACTTGTTGAATAAGCTAGAAAACCGAGAGAAAATAGTGCAAAAATGATTGAGTTAATATGATAATTGAGTAATTTAGCTTCTAAATTGTGATTCAAAATGCACATATCAGTTAGCACGGATGGAAGTTCTATCGAGAGTATAGTACTATAATTTGATTTGTTTCAGTACTACTTCCTCAGCTCCAAAATACTAGTACCTTGCATATTAGGTCTCATTAGGATAAGTTTTTGACTAACAATTACTTTGTTATTGTATATATAATATGGCATAAAATTGATATCATTACATTTGTATCCAAAAGTATTTAGTTGTGTTCATAGTTTTGCGTCACAAAATTGATATACTAATAGTAATTGTTGGTTTATAGTTTATTCTAATGAAACCTAATCACAAGGTATTATGGAATGCAGAGAGATAATGTCAGATTTACAATACGGTCAAGAGGTGAACATCAATCTCAAAAAGTTAAAACTGGTTAAATTAGTTCTCCTAGAAATGCTCTTCACTTGGTAGAAGCATCAAGTCAATGTCGAGAAGGCAATCAAAAGATTCCATGTATTTAGTAGTAGGCATCGCCAACCTCAATACCGAGTAGGCCATTGAAAACTACACACACACTCTCATACTACCCATAGTGGGAGTAACTTCAGGTCCAACTCAGCAAATTTGTTTATGTGACAATGATTTAATGAGGAGAGAGATGATTTGAGTAACATATCTAGTTAGTCACACTATGAGTAACATCACACATACCAAGACAAGATGAGTCTTCAAACTAATAAATGTAGCACATGCATGACACCACAGATATGTTACTCCCCACTATAGAGGTAGTAACTTAGACTAGTAACATATGCATGCAAAATTGCATAGGAGCACCTGCGGGCGCAGCCCCCTAATATTTCACCATCGAATATGGATATAGATCTGCACCACTATATGTATTCATCATTTTATTGGCATGTATGTTCTGATTTAGAGGTGCATAGCATTGTATTTCCTGCATGCACTGGCCCACTCAACAACTAAAGCTATATTTACTCAAGCAATGGTCACATCATCAGTTAATGCCTTTCCCATTGATTCCATCTATCCCGTTTCATCTTCCTTCAACTCATTCGTCTCAAATTTAAAAGCCATTTCACGTAATCACACATTTCTACGAAGCTTAATTTTTACCATGCTAATTCATGTGAAATTATCTAATTAGATTTTAGAGATTTTCTGAGATATGTCATTTTTTCTGTTAATTGAGAAACTGAGTACGTCATGCGAATAATTCTAGAAACTTTTCTATAATTAGCTCAGGTATTATCCTGTTCTAAGAAAGCTGAGGATTTAATTTACGTGCTCTAACTCTGCTCCCACCATGCATCTATGACATCTTATATCTCATATCTTATCTTATATTTACTAATTGGAGGCACCATTAAAGCCTTCTCATTAATCCACATCATTGAAATTAATTACACCGTTGGATTAAATAATTAACTCCAGAGATGAAAAAGAAACTTACGTGACACATGGTCCAAAAAAGGACTCCTGCCACGTTTTGGTGAAGCAAAACAAAGACTGCATCCAACTTTGCCTAAAAAAATGATAGCATTCTTCCATAAAAAATCTAGCAATGAAAAGGAAAGAAAATAGGAGAGCAGATCCGTTTGATTACCCTTCAAACTCCAATCTTCTCCCGTGAAGTAAAACAAAGAAAGCATCCATCGTATCCTCCAAAAAAAAGATGTTCACGTTGGTAACTGATTTTTTTCTCCATCAGCAGATATGCTAAACGTAAGATGTGATTTAAGTCTGGCGTGATAAATTAAAAAAAGAGCAAGTCCATACTGAGTGCTTTAGCATGTCTGCACGCTAGAACATGGGAGTCCATATATGGTAAAAAATGCTACAAGTCGTGCGTGATTTTAGTCCAACAGGATAAGTACGCGCATGTTGGAGAGTCCATCTATGGTACTCCCTCCGTTCCAAAATAGATGACCTAACTTTGTACTAAAGTTAGTATAAAGTTGAGTCATCGCGAATCAACCTGTGGTTGAGTTGGTTAGATGGACAGTGGTATCCCCAACCCACCAGGGTTCAAATCCTGGTGCTCGCATTATTCTTGGATTTATTTCAGGATTTCCGGCGATGCGCTTTCAGTGGGAGGAGACGTTCCCGTCGACGACGAGGCGCCTACGGTGACTTCGTAAATTTCAAGATGATATGCCGGCTCAGTCTCTCGGAGGTGCTCATAGGGGTAGGGTGTGCGTGCGTGCGTTCATAGGGGTGAGTGTATGCGCGTGTATATGAGCGCTTATGTCTGTACTGATGCTCAAAAAAAAAGTTGAATCATCTATTTTGGAACGGAGGGAGTACAAGTCATACGACATGCATGATTTAATTCTGGCGTGATATCTTTCTTTTAAGAAAAAAAAAGTCCGATGTGATTCTTTTTTGCCGGGAAAAAGTCCGACGTGATAGAACAAACAGTACTACTGCACGTACGTTTAGAGACAAATTTGTCCATGTATAAATACATGTGTACAAAAACAATACGAGGGCCCATGCAAACAAATAAGGGCTGCATGTACGGCCATTGAACCCCTGCAAAAAAAAGTACTTCCATTGAAACGTGGATGCAAACAAAAAATATATAAGGGCGTCCTTCAGTAATGGGAAACAATATTTATTCATCAACCAGATATTGCATCCTTGGAACTTTTATATGCATGTGGAAAGAAAGAATGGGCACATAGAAAGTTGAAGAGATTTGATCGGATAAGAGGGCACTACAATAAAAATAAGGAAATTAATTTTTAAATTCATATTCGACCGGAGATTCATTCAATCTTCTTAGTTTCCATGCCAGTCACGATGGATGATGCTTTGAAGGGGGTGTGCCGATGGTTCGTCGATGCAGACCATCTCAAACTCTGTCGGCTTCCATCCCTTTTGTTTATCGATTCAGTGGCCGTAGTCTCAGGGTGCAATGATAGCGGGTGCTTTTCCAAAGGGTAGACGTTTCCTCCACACCCATGCATCGCCAGAGTCATGCCCAACATTTGGTTTGTCTGGCGTGAGGTCCGTCTTCGTCCTCATTATGGCCCTAAGAAACACCAGCATAGATGTCTGCATACTTTCAAAAAAGACACATTTCTCTTGGCCCAGGGAGAATACAAGATTCGAAACAACTAGATTGGTTAGTCTTCTCTATACTCAGGACGCACGTTTGCTCTTATCGTGGATCTAGGATGAGTTTGATACTTTGTTTGCCATGTAAGTCAAAAACGATCTGTGTGATGATGACCATAAAATCTTCTTCGCACTAAAACGGGGAAAACTGTTCATGTAAAAAGCAAAAAGGAAACACATCTCTTCCTCAAAGTAAAAGGAAAAACATCTCCCTCGACTCCTGTACATGACTGCTGACTCCTTTCCTTCGATTCTCCTCTCCTATGGATGGCCCCCAGCAGTTTTTCTCAGTGAAGGATATCCCCTTCACCATCAAGTGCCCTCTCCCACCAGCATGGCCATCGGCAAACCACAAAGATCCCAAAGCCAGGTGCTGCACGGGATGACAAGCGACCACAAGCGACCACTGAACTTACATGCATGTGTTATAATAAAAATCTACATCAACGTATCCATATTATTATTGTTTGACATTTTTTATTTTTCACAACTTTGTTATATTAAATATTGAAATTGCTAGACCGTGCAGGTGCACGGGTTGACGACCAGTGTACTATAACTGCCAACCTCCGGTCGTACACTCCATTTACTACTCATGTGGTAACGTTTCTTCTTCAGCACACTAAACTCCAGCCACGATCATTTATTAGCAGTTTAGTACTACATTCTTCTACTCCCCATAAGAGATCAAGTCATCTAAAAGAAGAACAATACTACTTGGATCGACAGGTCTTAATAGATAACAGGGCTTAGAACTTACTGTGTTTGGTTTATCTGGGAGACAAACCCGCTCAAAGGATCTTAACTCGTGTTTGTGTAAGCATCAGCTTCTCACTTAACGGTTTTTCCTTTTAAAAGAAAATTATTGCGAACGCAGGTGACATTTATTCAGAATATTGACTCTACACGCAAAGGACAGGAATCACAGTGTATCATCGGGTATTTCATATGTATCTGTAACTAGCAAATTCATTGTGCCTTAAATGCAGCCATGCCATCATAGGAACTCAATAACACAGATATCATGGTGCGGCGTCGCCGAGAGCCATTGGTCCGCCTCCCATATGCATGTTACTACTCTAAATTACGCTCTACTGTGGGTTGTATCAAGTAGTCAGAAGTTTGACGGATCCAATGGGCGATAGCGTGCTAATTACTCCGGAGGCCAGATCAGATATTTAAAAAGAAAAGCTAGTGGTGCAACTTGTCTGCGTGCATGGATACTAAACTGCAAATGCCCGGGAGGCTAAAATGGAAAAAGTACTAGTACAACTTGTGTAGATGCATAGAAATTACAATAGTAAACTGCAACCCGCTTTCTCGCTACATACATGGACGCAACTCCAGCCTATAAACCACCTCTACCGCTCTATGCATCTTATCACCCACACAATAGAGAGAAGAACCTGTAGATAGCTTTAGCTTAAGCTTCCTTGTTGTAGCTATGGCTAAGTATTTACAGAGTGCTCCTGTTAGCCAGGGAGCATTGCAGCACAAGGAGTTTCTCTTAGATGGCTTGTACATGGAGCAGCGCCCCCAAGGATCGCCGAATCCGAACGAGGTCATTATAGTGAATCCTGGCCTTCCTATGAAGTTTGGCTGCACCGCGGCTACTGATTGGACAATATATGATGGCATTGGCCCCGACAAGAAGCTTGTGGCACATGCACAGGGGGTACTTACGGGTGCTGGTGCAACCGAAGGAACCTGGTCCCTTTGTTTTAACATGGTGTTCGTCGATGAGAGGTATGTTGCAAATTCTAAGTTCATGTGTTTAAACATTGTGTGTGTACCTTAACATCCACTAAGAATACAAACTCGATTGGTTTAGGTTCAAAGGTTCCAGCCTTAAGGTGCTTGGAAATATGAGCTCACCACTAGAAGGTGAATGGGCAATCCTTGGTGGGACGGGTGAGTTTGCCTATGCGCAAGGTGTTGTCTTGTTCAAGATCCAAAAGTTTTATGAGCTTCAGATCCGCGTCTTGTGCCTCAACTTCTCGTCATCCCTATCATTGGTATATACTATATTTTTCCTCGTTCCGGTTCATGCATCGACTATCTAATCTTTTATCAGAATTTTTAACACGCATTGGCAACACAGCCTATAAAGATGGGGCCATGGGGCGGAAATGGAGGTTTCCCTCAAGACATGACCGCAGGAAAGCCGTTGCGTCTACGAAGTATGAGAATAAACAGTGGCTCGCGCATCTTTTCGCTTGAGTTTTCTTATGTCGACAAACTTGGGAAGGTCCGCTCTGAAGGTCCATGGGGTGGCAGCAGCGGAGGGAACTATCAGACTGTGAGCTTATTTGAGATTCCTTATTTTTCTTTTCTCATATATATACACAGCCAATTATGTGATTTAATTTATTTCCTTATATGTTTTTTTTTTGCAGATTGAGCTAGGCCCTAAAGAGTTTGTGAAGCAAATATCGGGGACAATTGACAACCTTGTGACTGAAACTGTTATAACTTCTCTTGTTCTCGTCACCAACATCAGAAAGTATGGGCCTTACGGAAGTGTGCAGGGCACAAGTTTTGATGCCACGGTACCGGAAAATACATGTGTTGTGGGCTTCTTTGGCAGATCTGGTGGTGCACTTGATGCAATTGGCATTTACCATGGTCCCATCGCAGTTTAGAGAAGGATTCATGTTTGTCCATTATGTTATTTATTTGAAAGCCGCGCTTGTTTTCCTCTAAATTAGAACACGTTGGCGCAGCTTCCTTTGTGGCCAACATTAGTTCCAGTGTTTGTGTTCCAAGAATAAGATAGCTTTGGTTTGGGTACGTCCTCCCATAGCTTCCATTGTCAGGGTTCCACGCTCCTTTTCTAGGTTGAGTTCTCTGTGGTCGCTTACTGTACTTATCTATTTGAAATTATGAATAATGTTATGCCATATTGGAACCCGTGGTCTCACAACTTGTCACATATCTTGAGAAGTGCGCGCGACTAGTCACAGAAGTTTGTGGAGTGTGCAGCCATGCTGCTAATCAGCCACCGACATAGACTGATTAGACCCGATTGCAAAGTCCACCAACTTCAGAGGTCGTACATACGTGATAAGTTGTGTACGACCTGTCTACCTCTGTCAAATAGTCTTGTTATGATTCAGGAACAAATGAAGCTGATAAAATCCTAGGTGATCTACTTTTCACACAGAAGATGTATGTCATTCCTCTTCGGGACACTGAATGAGAAGGCACTTTCATACTCATTGGTAACCTTGCTCAAATTGTGTGGTATAATTTTCACACACAAGCATGGTGATGAATCTTTGCGAGATTTTATTTTGGGACTTGCTAATTCACTTGATGTGCATGACAATTCCATCCTCATTGATATTGCTCCAAAGGATCCAAGAACTGGGAGGGGCCAGAATTGTTGGGGAACGTTGCAGAAAATAAAAATTTTCCTACGGTTTCACCAAGATCCATCTATGAGTTCATCTAAGCAACGAGTGAAAGGGGAGATGCATCTACATACCACTTTGTAGATCGCGAGCGGAAGCGTTCAAAAGAACGGGGTTGAGGTAGTCGTTCTCGTCGTGATCCTATCACCGGAGATCCTAGCGCCGAACGGACGGCACCTCCGCGTTCAACACACGTACGGTCAGCGTGACGTCTCCTCCGTCTTGATCCAGCAAGGGGGAAGGAGAGGTTGATGATGATCCAGCAGCACGACGGCGTGGTGGTGGATGCAGCAGAACTCCGGCAGGGCTTCGCCAAGCTGCTGCGGGAGGAGGACGAGGTGTAGCAGGGGGAGGGAGGCGCCAAGACTTGGGGTGC